TATAATCAAATTCGATAAAAATTTCCAGAAAGTGTACAGAAAATTTCAGACAAAAATTTTTAAGAGTGCAATTCCACCAACCCCTACCGGTCATTCCCCAACTCGAGAGCGATCGAAGCGAGCGACCGCACTAATTTTTTATTTCAAAATCATTCGAACAGAAAATCAATAGAATCTTTGATTTTTCAGTGCCAATATTGCGGGAATTTCAGTGGAAAATAAACATGATCAAAATTTGCGGGATTTGACACGGAAAATTCATACGAAAATTTTTAACGGTGTAGTTATAAATTACCTTGGTATTTCTAGTGCACCACTATTATAAAAACTAAATGAAGTAATGTCAGAAATCGAATATATGATACAAAAACCAATCATATAGACGTCACCGCCGTAATGATCGGCGGGCGCCCCACAAAAATTGGCAAATTATATCTCTGAATATTATGAAATTCTGTACTGATAAGGATCAAACTTTATACAGTCGACAACCATAAAGATCAGAATATCATGAAAGTCAAATTATATATCCAACTCCCATAAGAGTCAGAAGTTTGATAACGGCCAGAAAGTCCGTTATGGTCTTGCGGGTCAAATAGGTTCCATGGATCATGTGAAGGAAGCCTCCTCTTCCATTCGCTCTCTAATATTGATATTTGACACACGGAAAAAAAAAAAATCAAATTTCGAGTGGGTTGTTGGTCGCTCGCTTCGGTCGCTCAAATTACGAGTGCGTTGGAGTGGGTGTGACCCATTACGGGTTGAGCCCATAACTTCCAAACCAATTTCCTTTCCTTTATTCATTAAAATTGTATTCTTCTATACAACTTATTCTATTGAGATATTTTCCATTGAATTTCCTCGGGTCAAACTTTTCTAAGTTTTTGTTTAGTTTTCTAAATGAAAAGAACAGAAAAATAGAATAAAAGAAAAATAATGAAAAAAATTGACCTATATTGAAAAATCTTTAACCCCTCAAGTACGGCGCCAATATCGCGCGATGTGTCCTCATCGGCCGGCGGCCTCCCGTCTACTTGAATTCGCTGTTCAATACGCAACAATTTCTACACTGATGATCAAAAAATTACCATCTAAAATTTAATGATAATCTTGAGCTTTCACCAATAAGTTATTCAATTACGGTATCCCTCTACAGAGATTTTTCTGGAATTTTTAAGACTATTCTCAGTTTGATAGTACAAATGGTTGCCAAGATCGGCGATTGTCGGAAATTTGTTAATAACAAATCAGTAATTCATTGAATCAAAATTTCGTTTGTACCATTTGACAAAGAAATATATAGAGTATATTCGATAAAAATTTCAGAATTTTTGGTGAAAATTAGGTCGATAAACAAGAGGTTTGAATATGCATCTGACATATCGAATTCAGTTCCATATTGTATATTTATTGCAGAAAAATAGTAAAAATAACTTGAAAAAAAAATCGAGTCGCATTGTGTTGATACCTTATCTACTTCATGGGGAAATTTTTAGAATTTCGATATCTACAATAGCACGAAAGAGAATGAATTTTTATTAATCACGGAAAAAGTTTCAAATTTCAAAAATTCATGTTCAAATTACTCCGAAACCGCGAATTTGCTAGAATTTCAGTCGAGTCTTAATCATACACAGCTGCATCAATTATGATGATAAGAAATCAATCTCATCATTTCTCTGACAGGAATCATCAATCCATGGCAATATTAACTATTTTATTCTCTCCGTTCACTGATCAGCGTCGCATAAGTCTAACTATCCGTCAAGACTGAAAGAGACCTCGAGCAATAATTTTGCCATGCGTCTATTCAAATCGAAAGCAATATTTTTTTTCTCTACCTTTCAGCTATTTTTGGGGGTGAGAGCTCAACAATTCGTCCCACTCATACCACCCACGCATCAAGAGCCCCCGCAAATGGCGGGAATGAGTAAATGCAAATACGAGGAGTCTCGAAATGAAATGTCATTACCCAATAATTATCAGAATTCCATTCACTCTCATTCCATTAACCATCCACCATTACTCATGCATCAAAGAGCATTGGCCATGTATCATGATTTCGATAGAGGTTAACTTTCAATACAGCCGTCTGTTAAACCTCTCAAACTAGGGAAACCACTTGATTTTTAATGAACTCCCCAACGAGAGACATCGTTTTTCCACGTCAAAGAGGAGACCAACCCTTGGTACCAATTTACAAAGTTTTGTGAATTCCCGGGGGTATGTGGAGCGCTCAAGCTGGACAACGAGTTGAAAAAAAAAAAATTGGCAAAGTGAGTTTTTCGTTCTTCTGGACAAAATGTATGTATTTTTAACGAAACTCCCGACTTCATCCTTGCGCCTCGGTCGCCTGAGAAAAACTTGATAATAAGGTCGTTACATTAACGCAACAGAATGAAATAACGATTGCTAATTCTCGCAGTTTTTTTAAATGAAGAGGAAATCCGATTTATACTGTGTTATGCTTGTTAACAACTATTTAAAATTCCAACTCTTGCATGCTGTGGCTCACGTGTATATAGGCATACGCAAGCTGCTATAGAATAAATTTGAAATGGAATGGACTAACGAGGGTTACTATTGCAGAAGTGAGTTTGCAAAGTACATGCCGAGTTATTCAAATGTTACAGAAGTCTCCGAGGGAAGTTCTGTCGTCATTATTATTTTGAGAGAGGTAAGTGTATAACCGCATAGGGGATCTAGCCATGTATGAACGATAAACGCACTTCGCGGAGAGTGGACATCGTTGTCCAACAAAAAAGCGATGTGTAAAAGAGATTCCACAATGAATGCAACGCAGGATTAACGCGATGTGTGAAATTGTTTAAATCATTCATTCAACTGTTTTTCGATTATTTGTGACGATTGCAAACGTTGCGTTCATTGTGGAATCTCTTGAAGAAAGTAATTTTTGATGCCAATTACATAAAAAAAAAAAATTAGTTTCGATCAGTAGAAAAAGCAGTTGTACCCAGTACCAAGGGGTTTCTGGGGAAAAGGCACATTTTTGTACTTCCTCGAAGTTATAAAACAATTTGATGCAAGTATCATGCGTCAAGTACCTGTGTACTGGTGAGAAGTACCTCAGTACTTGTCAGAAGTATTTTGTTACTTATACTGAGTACCTGGCTGGTTCTTTTCAAAAGTACCAAATAAACTCAATATAAGTTGAGTGTAAGAACTCAAAAATGTTTTTCTACCTCTTCTAAACACCGAATTTTGTCAAAAATTCATAAACCCAAATAATTTCCGTTTTGTGAGTAATAAAATTGAAAAGAAATTGAAAATAATTTTTCAAAGCCTTTTAAATGTTGATAACAACATAAAACATAAAAATCGCAATCTATTGATTTTTTCCTACAAAATATCTTCTGATGAACATTTCTATTTACAAAAATGCCTATAAGAAAGCCCAGTCTATGCGGTAATAATATTCACTTTTTTCAATAAAGTAATCAATTGAAAGTATTGAAATTAAGTCCTAAAAGACCTTGAGAGAAGTTGAAAAATTACTTTTCACTAGTACCTTTGGTACTTATGAAAAGTACTAAAAGTACTAGCAGTAAGTAGTGATACTACTTCCTTCCAGTACCATTTCTACTCGATCGGCAGATGTGGTACTTCACCTAAGGACACAAAATGTACTTGGGACGAGTATTTTTAGAACTTTTCAAAAGTCAACTTCCCCCAAGTACCGGTTTATACTGGTGAGAAGTAATTTTATTTTGGGTGATTATATTCACAATTGCAAGCGTTGCACTCACTCGAGAATCTACTTTAGGCTGCTGCCACAATGAATGTAACACAAATGTCGAAAACAATTGAACATACGCACACTACGCGGCTCGTTTTTTTTAACAAAAAATTAATTTATAAAGTGCTTCCTGGGAAAGCAGCAGCAGCAGAAGTATCTCTCCACTCTACCCAAATCCCACGCGGAGAGAAATATTCAGTAAAAATTACGGAACAATTCACGTAATCCGCAAGGGAGAATCGTTTTCTGGCAATTTTTATAGGAATTGAAGAGAAGAAATCTGAAACGTTCAGTGAATTTTCAGGTTCATCACCGAACAAAGTACGAAACTGTCACGTAATTGTTCCCGAAGAAGTAAAATCTTACAGAAACTTTCCGACTTATTGTGCCTCCCAAATCAAAAATTCTTGAACGTTCAACAATTTTTATGAAGCTGCTGAGTTATTTCTACGTTGCGTTCCGTAAAATTTCTCAATCGTTGGGGAAAAATTACGGAACGACTTGTTGTCCCCACAGCGGTGAGTCATCAGACGGCTGGTTAATTTTTACGGAACAAATTGTAAAATTTACGTGGCGATTCGTACAATTTCAGTTCCGACTCAAACTTTTTATTGAATTTTACTTCGCTCGTGAATTACGTATCGAAGCGTAATTTTTACGTTTTTTTCTGGTAATTTTTATTGAATTTTTCTCTCCGTGCAGTTGTGCTCGTGCGCCCCATCACTCAAATCTAGATTCCTGCTTCGGCAAGACAGAATGAACGCGACGCGTAGTGCATTAATGGCTCATTTATCACAAGATTCGCTGTCCGAGAGGAGCAATTAGTGATGCCGTCGAGACTAGACGAGAATTATTTTGGAAAGATCATCACGGTTTAAAAAAACATCAAAAGTTTAGGAATCGTCGGAATCTCGAAAGACATTGGATTGGTGCATCTCGTCACGAACTTGGAAAAATCCATCACGTCTGAGTTTTATTATTTTCACTTTTTCAAATATTTGTCTCGATAACTGTCTCGTCTCGTCTAGTGAACTTAAAAAACGGAAAATCTCGAGATCCAGGCCAGATAAATCCTCACGAAATTGTGACGAGATGCACCGATCCAATGTCTTTCGAGATTGCGACGATTCCAAGACTTTCGATGTTTTTCCACACCGTGATGATCTCTTCAAAATAATTCTCAATTATGGTCTCGACGGCATCACTAGCAGCGATATTAGAAAATTAATCCGAATTTACTAACCTCTTGCACCCGTCTCTGGACGATAATTTTATGCCACTGATTATCATCGAATCGTATCCTAGTCGGTTTGATATGAAGATCCAGTCGGCCATTGGCCAAGGTCATGCTGACTGCAGCGCCTCCGTCTCTCAGTGATACTGTCAAATAATCGGCCCCTTCACCTGAAGCCAGAATAAATCGAGAATTAGAATATGCGATTCACCATTAATTTTTCAGTATTTTCTTCCTCATAATTCATGTATTTTTGAATAATTGTCTTCATATACTCGTCTCGCTTAAAAAAATCCCCATTGTTTCAAAATTTTATTGAATTGAATAGTTAAAGATTATTGTTACCAGAATAGAATAGAAGTCCATTGTGTTGCCTTGTTTTGAATTGAAGACTCACGGACTCCTCCATACTGAGAATGGGGTCACCTTTACTAAGGTCAACCTTAAGATACTCAGTGCCTTTGAATGACGCCTCCGAGGGTACCTTATCTGTGACAAAAAGAAATAAATTATATACCGGTACATGTAGACATATTTGATTTGGCTATTATTAGAGATGTGAGTGACAAAATGACCGTCAATGACCATCATCAGGACTCGTAACTACTGCGCCGAGAATCTGACCATGTGGTCAGAAAACAAAATGACGATTGGTCATAAGTATGAAATTACCGAATAAATTTTGACTTCTAATTTTCATCTATATAGATGACCCTCATTTTTCGAGTACACTGTTATAGTACATTACATGCCCGAGCCTTGGAAAACAGATCACCGTTTTCCACGTGCAAGATTGCCTTCCGAGCCGAAGGCGAGGATGGCAAGCACGTGGGGGAGGGTGATATGTTTTCCATGGCGAGGTGTGCATATTAATTTTCAGGTCCCGTGACACGAAAAAAATTTTTGTTTGAAATTTTTGAAAATTTACACTTTTTGGAAATTTTTATCGAATTTCATCAGCATAGAAATTTGAAGGAATTTCGTCATTAAAAATTCAGAATTTCGTGGGGAAAATCAAAGAGAACAGTAAATTTCAGTTCCACTTTTACTTGAAAATGAATAGAAAACCAGAAAATTCCGGTAAATATATTCTTGAATTTTTAGGACAGTGAGACTGAACGCGATTTAGGGGACAAAATCATGAAATTTCAAATTTCACTGAAAATTCAATGTAATTTGGCACTGAATATTCATATTAGATTGGAAATTCAAATACATTAAGGAATTCGTATCTTTATACTGCTTAAAATTCTGGAATTTTATTGAATTTTCAATGAAACTTGAAATTTCATGATTTTTACTCCCCTAAATCGCATTCAGTGTCACTGTCCTGAAAATTAGTGATCAACTGTCCATGAAATTTCATTTTTTTTTCTAATAGTGTACTAGTCCAGCGATTTCGACACTGTTAAAAAATTTTAGCTCAAATTTCCAGTTCGCCTTTTTTTTTTTTTTTTTCGGGCTCGGAGTCCCTTTTTCGGGTCCCATTCGGCACTCTATCCAACCCTATGCATGCGGCTGTGGATTCTACACTGTACCGCATTCGCACTTCTATAGAACATAGAAGTAGCATGGGGAAACCACAGAAAACCCATGCTGATACAGGCGGTTCCTCTATTAGCAACCTCCCGCTCGCCGGAGCCTTCCGTTGAAAAATTCGGTTCCACGGGGAATCGAACTCACAACCTTTCGCACACTAGACTTGCGTCTAATCCACTCGGCCACCGACGTCGGTTCCAGTTCGCCTTTCGACAATTTTTATCGCATTCAACTTTTATTGAAATTTCAACGATTTTCGTCATTGAAAATTCGGAATTTTCGGGAAAAATGGATAAAAACTGTAAATTTTAGTTCAATTATTCCCTGAAAATTAATAGAAAACCCACAAAATTCATAGACATGTTTTTAATTTTTCAATTATTTGAAAATTCAAATAAATTGTAGAATTTTATTGAATGTTTGGCGAAATCTAAAATTTTGTTTCTTTTCCTCCTTAAACTGCATTCAGTGGCACTGTTTAGAGAATTACTAGTCAACTGTCCATGAAATTTCATTATTTTTTCTAACAGTGTATCATTGAAAACGAGGCTATTGGTAATAATTAACAAATAAAATAGTAAACGATAATTAAAACTAAAATCCTCAATGATAATAAATCAATTCTATTAAAAAGTTTTTCCATCGGGCTCTTAAAAGATGACTTGAAAAATGACCGAAATGAAAATGATGGTCAATTTGCAACTATATAAACGATTTTTGGTAATTTTGGCTTGTATTTGAGGCAGCTTAACTGTGACGGTCCTTTTGCATACAAAATTCGGTAAATGTCAGAAAACTGTCCGAAACCGATCATTGACGTCTGACCTAACCGAAAGGGAAAATGACGGTCATTCCACACCTCTAGCTATTGTACATGGTAGGGGAGGATGGGGCAAAACGGCCCCCCTTCAATCGTCAATATTTTCCGATTCAATAATCCGATTGGGATGAGTTAGAGCTCGTTTTGAAGAATGAAAAATTATCTTCAAAATGAAGTTGAAACTGGGAATTTTCACAATGTCATTCACAAGTTATTGACAATTGAAGGGGGGCCGTTTTGCCCCACCCTCCCCTATACATTACACGAAAATCTATGAAATTGGGGAACAAAAGTGTGAAAATTTTTAATCTTTGATTGAAAGAGACATCTGCTGTACGTTTTTCTTCATAATTCTAATCAAACAATAGCTAAATTCAATTATCTCTAGAAGCAATCGAAGCACTTGCTACTGTTATTATTTGTTTTGTCAACACCAAACTCACGAGGGGACTAGCATTTCTATAAATTTACCTATTTCCCACACCAATATTGATCCACTCCTCTTCGATACAATAATTTATTTCGTCTGGGATGGGTTCTTGTTGCCAAAAAAATACACGAGAAGGTAATGAGTTTCGTTGAATAATTGAATAAGCCTTCTTTTTGGTGGGTGTATTTCACCACAATGGCTCCAGCTCCCTCACCAGAGACTTGCGAGAAACTTCAGAAAAAAAAAGGAAGCGCATAACGCAGGAAAGAAAAAGTGGAGAAAACTTGTGCGAACGATATACTTTCCCGCTTCAGTGAATTGGTAGAACTTGGAGGAACTATGTATAACTACAACCCTACATATAGATGAGGGAGAAGAAGGGACGGAGAGTGTTGAAAAATGGATTTCAAGTAGAACACGAGCTTCAGTGTGGAGTGACATTGATTAAAATTTTTGTTCCTTCGTGAATTTATGACAGAGTGATAATAATTTGTGATAACAGTGTAGAATCCAGGTAGCGGGCATTGATGAGGTGATGATCAACGTTCAGATTCGTGTGAAGAAAGTGATGAAGAGTATCTGGGGGTTGTGACATTTGATGACAATGATCATGATGATTTGGAGGTTGAGATAGTCATCTCTTCATGTTATAAATTCCTGAATCGGCTTCTAGCGACGCGAAATGGGAACATCAAAATTGAAACACGAAACACCGACAAGACTCTAAATAAGATAAGGCTCTAAATAGTCCATCACCGTTGGCATATATAATGACTTCATCTCAGGATTATATTCCTCATCAGCTAGCAGAATTGCAAATGAAATGAGGAGAAACGACGACGAAAATGCCAGTGCATTGAACCGATATTTAATTTATATCCTAAAAAATCCGGCCGGATTCACTCACCAATGAAAAATAAATACGAAGATGAATGCGCTTCTTTGAATGTTGACAACCGTGCAGGCTTAACTCGAAGCTCACTCTCTCCTGTTAGTTAATGTCAGAAAAATACCAAGTGAGGCTTCCTCTCCACGACGTAGATATTACCAAAGACGTATTTTTCTTTCAGTGTAGCAAAATAAAATGCTTGAGTATTAATATTGAATTACGGTCGATTTAAAGTCTCGCAAGCTTCCTTCCCTCACATCAGCAGAGAAGGGATTCTATCTGCTGGGTCTTTCCTCAGTCAACGTCGCGAAATTCTTCCCCACCGGGAGAAAAACAAGAATTTCTCGCTCGACGGAGGAACATCAACGATTCATTGTCGAACAAAGCCCGTCATTCACCCGTGAAAAAAGATAGGACTGAACTAGTTTATCTGAATGCAACCCTATCATCACCCATTAATCCGAACTAAGACTTCAGTATTACAATCAAAGGTTCTCCATTTGGATAATAACCCAGCTACCGCAGATTGCACTTTCCAACATTTCTATTAACTTAGCGCTGGTTATATACTCTCCCAAGTTGATGCTAGTGCTCCTTGCAGGCGCCCTTAATTAACCATCCCTAATTATATTAAATCAACCTTTTTGTTTTCCCGAGTCCAAGAATGGATCGCAGTTTATACGCACCTTGGCATGGACTGGTAATACAATTACCGTTAAGTGAAGAAGGCAATCTTCACGAAGTTGTACAGAAATAACGGTGATGCCGATAGTGTATTGCTTTCGACTCTTTCAAAGTGAAAAAAAAAGAACATTGGAAGTGAGTTAGATGGATGAAATATCGTGACTTCTTGAGATATAATTGATGTTATTTTTATGGCTGGAGTAAAGGAAATGGATCGAATTGAATAATGAAGTTAATTGGGATTTATTTAGTTTATTTATTTGAAAAAATGAAATCGATCATGGACAAAAATATCCTCGAATTAGGTATATCATATTCTGGGATCAGGAATATTTGTAGTTCGGAATCCGGGATCTTATATTTTGGAATCCGGAAAAATATTTCAGGGACTTCCACGCTTTGAAATACGTTGCGTCTATAAGAGATGACTGACGACATGCCATCCGATTTTAAGGAAATTTAAGTACATTTATTTCATTTTCTAAATTAATTAATAATTTTTAGTAAATTAAATTATAGACGCAATATATGTCAATGCGAGGAAGTCCCCGGGATATTATTCTGAAATCGAGAAGTAAATATTTCAGATTCCGGTATGGTATTCCAGATTTCAGAACATAAGATCCTGGATTCCGAAATATTACAGACTTGATTCGATGTTTTTCCGTGGAGAGAATTTTCGTGATTCCCGTTAGCTTAATTCGGAAAAGTCCCCGCCGCGTAACTGGAAAACCCGGTTTCGAATCCCGGCTGGGCACTGCGGGATTTTTTCTCTCTAAAGTTTGATTCTGTTTGAATTTATTTCATAACTAAAGATATTCCAGCAGCGTTGTGAGTTCAATTTAGAAGGGGAATTCAAAACATCGAAAGTTTAGGAATCGTCGTAATCTCGAAAGACATTGGATCGGTGCATCTCGTCACGAACTTAGAAGAATCCCTCACGTCTGAGTTTCAGCATTTTCTGTTTTTCAAATGTTTGTCTCGGTACCTGTCTCGTCTCATCTCGTGTACTTAAAAAAACGAAAATTTCGAAATCCAGGCAAGATAAACCCTCCCAGAATTGTGACGAGATGCATCGATCCAATGTCTTTCGAGATTGCGACGATTCCCAAACTTTCGATGTTTTTCCAGACCGTGATGATCTCTTCAAAATAATTCTCGACTAGTCTCGACGGCATCATTATTCCTGGTAGCTTAGTTCGAACGGGTACCCAACGCGTAACTGAGATACCCGGGTTCGAATCCCGCCTGTGCGCTGCACGATTTTTTCTCCATCTACATTCTAATTCTCTTTCATTTTTTTTCACGGCAGTTCTGTTTCTTAATTGGTCGATTGTCCTTTTCATGTGATAATTATGGAACCGAACCGCCATGAACACTGCTGTGAGCGTGGGTTCATAATTACTGCCCTATCAACGTATTATGTATCGCATGAATGAGATCGAAATTGTTGCTCACGCCCCATCGTTACGCGAGACGTACGTTTATTCGAGCTGAGTATACGCATCGTCGTCCGTCTATGCCCTATAGCCATCCTACGCACCGTTTACGTTCATTGGTATGGGGCTTCGCGTCGCATGTCTCTCACTTTCAGACGGGAGTACGCGGCGCGTAGCTTTCGAGTGGGTCTCAAACACCCTATGGGTCACGTGAAAAATGTCTCGGTCGAAAGTGATGCCACAATGGCTGCACCGCGAAACGTAGGCCAAGCATGAACTAATCGTTCTACGATTTTTCGATTAGGATTATGCCACAATGGCTGCACAGTCAGATGTACGCGATGTTTGCAATTGTCACAAATAATCGAAGAATGATTGAACGTTTGTTTCACGCGTTGCATACGTTTCGCGGTGCGCCCATTGTGGCATTCCCCTTAGGGTGACTGTCCATGGAACAGAATCCACACGGAGACGCATCCCTATAACCAATTAGATCGCAAGATTTCGCCGCCAATTTTATTTGTTCAACTCTGAATGGTATACAATCATTTACTAAAGTTCTGAAACAATCTGAACGTGCATCCTATGTATTTTGTTTCAGAACTTTTGTAAATGACTGTACGCGGATGTAGTCCATACGCAATACCCCCTTCCCATGTGCACTAAAAGGGCGGAAGAGGATCACTGTGTTTTCTCATGTTGTTTGGTTTGAAGAAACCAAATTTGTCAGTGTTTTTTATCTGACACTGTGCATCCAAAAGTTATTGACAATTCAATTGTTTAAACCGAGTTTGCTTGAAACCTATTAGAGATACAGGAAAATAGTTCCAACAAAAGATGTTCCTTTTATAAAACTGAACATATTTACTGCTATCGATTTCTCCCGTATCTCGATTATTTTTCGAGATATCCGGGATTCAAATTTCCCATGGAAATGCATGGGGCACAGTACCCCGCGACGTCCCACCCTGCCCCGCGTCGCAAACTGAACGATTCGTTTGACCCTCAATATTTCGCTGAATAATTTGAATGAGAAAAAAATTCATCAGATGAAATATGTTTAACTCAACGAAAGCAAGATCTTTTATTCGAAGTATTTTTCTTCATCTTTCATAGTTGCCCCGCGAACTCGGTTTAAACAATTGGATTGTTAATAACTTTCAGATACACGGTCGGAGAGAAAAAACATTAAAAAATTCGGTTTGTTCAAGCCAAATAACATAAGAAAAAACGATGATATTCTTCCGCCCTTTTAGTGTACATGGGAGGGGGGTATTGCGTATGGACTAATGTGTCTTCGTGTAGATTCTGTTCCATCGCCAGTCACCCTTACTCTTGTTAATTGGAGGCGTTACGTATGTTCTGCGTTGCATTAATTGTGGTGTAATGGTAAGGGTAATGCCACAACGAACGCGAAACTTACGCAATGCGTGAAACAATTGTTCAACTATTTTTCAATTATTTTTGACAATCGTAACCGTTGCATATACCTGGCATTGCCTTCATTGTGGCAGCACCCTAAAGTACCGCCACGCGTAGCGCGTTTATGGTCCGTACGGTCTGCATACGCGCCGCGTATTCCAAATTCCGAGATTTTCGACTCCATTCGCATGTCCTTTTTACAAATTGGACTTTTTTATAGCCTCAATCAACTCAAGCTACACCAATCGGGTCACTCCAATGTACCTTCGAGAAATAGTGTTTGTAGAATTGTCGGTAGTTTCTCAGGTTTATCTTGAGCAACAACTCCTTACCAGTCCTGACAGCTATATGACTCGCCCCTTAGTGTGGAAAAATAGGAGACGGAGGATCTTTGGTTCCGTGTTATTGGTGTGTCGGGTTATATTACTAGGTCGGTGACAATCGTGTGGGGCTTAATGTCGTAAGTCGTTGGAGTAAACGACTACCTTTGAAAGTGGAAATGGAAAGGGGTGGCTCGGAACCCTATATCTCTGCGACTGGAGATAGCACACCATTTCTTCCGGTGGTTTGGAGACATCTTTCTTTTACTCTTTTACATTCCAGTGATTCTCGGGTGAGGACGAGGGTACTGGTGATATTTAGATATTGTAGAAAATATGATGGCAGTCGAATATCACCATCTCTTTTTATGCAGACCATTTGGAGATAAGTTTCTTCGTAAAGGCAATCTTTGCGGTCCTAATTTCAGTTCCATTAACTTCCAGTTGAATATCGTTTTGTGGTCTTATATTTTTAGTGACTTTAGATATGACCAGCTTAGAGGAGATATACTCATGCATGACCCACTCATATCATCGACTTGCCTTCCTTCTTCAACCGTCGCGTGTTACCCGATAGAATAATACGCGCGCCAGTAGCTCGAGGAATTGTGGGAAACGTGCGACCAGGGACAAACACGAATGCGACGGAAAATAACGCCAACAAAATAAGAATGGTAAAGAGAGGGAAAAAAGTGGTAGAGTTAACCCAGTTCTCCGTAAATTCACCCAAGTTGTGGATTTTTTCTTTCTCGGAAATATATTGAACCGCATTCTTATTGGTTTCTGGCAACAATCATGTGATGTCTCAGCGAAAAAAAATCCAATGATCGTTCATCATTTACCCAGTTACTTATTGAGGTGGTTAAAAGTCTCAAATGAAGTATTAATATTCAAGATACAACATTTTTAATCTCAAGACCACGTACTTTCGTCTGCTCTTCACATTTGACGTTGGCGTAGAAAATTGTCAGAAGATTGGCGGGCAAGCGCATGACTGTCGTTCGACCAATGTTATTACGTTCGATCGCTTTCAACAGTGCGGTCTATAACATCTGTCAAAGTGTATATAACGTCATCTCTCTATATATATATATAGAAACATGCTGAGATGCACGGAAATGTCTAGCAGCATTCTCCTCCAAGGAAAACCTGTCCTGACGCCTTACTCCATCCTTCTTCATTCCATAATGCCTCTCTGTACATCTATTTTGTATACTTTGGTGAAAAGAGACGGGAAAAAATGGGATGGCTTCAGATTATAGATAGGGTTCTTTCATTCGTATCAGACGCTCTTTCAACTGTCATATTCGAGGGAGAATTGGATGGTAACGCTGGATGCCTCAACGATTTCTTCCAAAAGAGAATTTTTCCAATAACCTCACGAGTGACAGAATGAAATATTAAGTGAGGCAATTTAGCAATCCTTGTTGATTTTTATAGTATGGTGAACAAAAATATTCTAACTCATGTCTACAGACTCACACATGAAAATAAAACCTAGCAACTACGAGGTATGCTACGTACGGTGGTTGCCTGCGATTGGTAACCCTACGAAAAAAATTAATTTACGGGAATTGATATTTTTTATTTATTTCGATGAGGTTTCGTTCAATTGTTTTCGTTAATTGAATAAAACTTGGTCAACTCACTGTATTCCCACGATTGGTTATCCCCAGCACCTGCCGTAGGTAGCACTGTGCTCCATGCCTCTATGAAAATCAACGAACGAGAAAGAAAATAAAGAAAAATAAGAGAAGAATGGGAGATGATTGAAATTATAGAGAAATTGTTGCGTATTAAATAGAGAATTTGCATATTTGTACATTTTTTATTAATAAAATTTGAGAATATATCCTATGACAGTCGCATTTTGGGCATTATGAATCCTGTTTAAGCTCTTTTCTAGTATTCGAAACCCGATTCAGGATTTCAGGTTTATTGAAAATTTCGTTCGTCAGATCTTCTGAAGCCGTATTCAGGCTGTCTTTAGCTTCTTGTGGAAGCCCAATTTAGATTTTTTTTCTTCATTCAAACCTTTATTTAACCCTTTCAGCCCCTTTTAAATCTTTCTAAGCCTCATTTAGACCTTGTTAAGCTCTATTTAACACGCTGAGGGGAATGGGCGTTTCCCCCACTCTATGTCATCTGGATGAGGCGTAGCCTAAATATTATGGTGGGAGCCGCAACGTCAGTGTCGGCTCAACAGGACTTCGAACAGACCGAATTAATTCTTACTGTACAGGAACACTGCGACATCACTAGGCGAGAGCCAAGGACCTGCTGTCAGGGAGTGGGGACAGTACACTGAGAGAAAAATTTCCTAATATGTAGACCATATTTACTTGCGAGAAGTGAATTATGTTAAATGGCTTAACGATGTTCAGGGGAGAAGTAGGATATTTGAAAAATGCAGCTAATTTCATGAATTTTTTTCACATATTGTTTAAACAATTTAGGCACTCCTTACACAATTTCAGAAACCCCAGGTTCAGGACAACGACAAAAATTAATTCTAAAGCTTATACGTATACATGAGGTTAATGGGAGCATCGATAATTCGTACATTTTCTCTACATTGTCGACCAGTCAGCAATTTGGAAAAAATACTGAAATTATCGGTGACTCATTTAACCTCATATACAAGCAGCAACTTTAAAATTCATTTTTGTGGTTGTCTTGAACCTGAGGTTACTGAAATTTTGCAAGGGGTGCCTAAATGGATTAAATAATATGCGACAAGTTTCATAAAATTGGCTGCATTTTTTGAATATCCTACTCCTCGTTTGAACATCGTTAACCCTCTAAATAGAAATGCCTGCTCCCCACCCCAACGCCTGGCGGAGCCTCGCACGATTTCCTACCGCGGTAGGGAGAGAGCGCAAGGCCGTAGTCATCACCCGGGGTCTTAATAAATGGAAATAATTCAGAATGATTCTAGCGCGGGCAAGATGTATAACGTCATCCACTCACACAGAATTTATTTTATCGTATAAACTTTATTGATCAATGACTTCCTAATGTTCTGTTTTCATAGGTTAACAAGATTTTAAATATAACCTGAAGTCATTGCGATCACTGGTGAAAATCATATGGACTGCTCTTTTTGCTTCCGAATGGAAGCATTGTAATCGTGCTGTTTTCACATTCTCTAATTTTGATTGAAAATCATGTAGAATGGTCTGAAACGTAAAAATACGAAGCTTGGCGACCATGTCTGTCGGTATCAATGTCCATCGCCACCTTTCCGGTGGTCAATTTTTGGAAAATTGAGTACTAAATTGGCTAAACTTATTCCAAAAAATCTGAAATTTTGTCAGATTATAGACCGTAACAAAGACAAACTCTGTGCAAAAGTTTAGCCCGATTGATCAAATAGTTTTTAAGAAAAGGCTATTCGTTTTCAAATCGTTTTTCGCTAATATCTTCGAAGCTAGTCAACCGATTTCAATTTTTTTTTTCAAAATATTCGTTTCAATGCCTTCTATCTGAATCAATCAAAACATATGTACCCGTTCATACAAAGTTTTCGAGATATTTCCGTTTATCTGTTTTTTCATAAAAATCCTTGTAATCACTCTAGCTTGTACAAAAATTCAGATATCAACTTGAAATTTGTACAGAAACTTCCTCTCATGATAACAATACTTCCTATTGAAAATGAGCTCAATCGCATAGGTAGTTTCCGAGGTATTCGAATTTCTCTGAAAACCTTTTATATGCAATAGCTTAAAAACTACGCAACCGATTTCAATTTTTTTTTTCAAAATATTTGTTTCGATGCCTTCTATCTGGATGCCTTCTATCCCATTCGGAAGCTTACTACCAATGGAATTGGTAGAAATGAAAGAAAGAAAAAGAGTTATAACACATAAAGTAACGGTCAGATGGCTTCGGCCAAAAAGACTCGAACCCCTGCTTGTTTTCCCATATTTTCCACTTTTCATCCACCGGATAATAGATACTATTTAATATATAAAAATGAGAAAAACATTAGTTGAGGTGGTCTTCTCATGCCATCCCTGTGTTAATCATAGTAAGTAAACAAGGAGAATGTTTGAATCAACAACGTAACACACGACGAATGAATGAAAACACTGACAAAAGGAAAATAAATACGCACACCGTTTGAATGTAAACCCCCATACTCTGTGAGTCATCTACGACCCTGGGCCCGTGGGAGTGGGGGAGCCTTTTCGTGATTTCACGCACTCACACATAGCGCGCAGGCACATTATTGGCCCTTTTCTCTCTCCCGCTTCACCGACAGGATTTCACCGGAGTTTTCATTCAGAGGATTAAATCTCAGAATGTTTGCACTCTACGGAACTCGAATAAATTCTCATATATCACTATTGTTCCACATTAAATAATGAATATATTACATATCGAAACATTGGAAGGGCATAAAAAAAATCATGACAACAATAAATACTTGAAGATTGACGATTCTTCTACACTGATAGAATGGATTAGTTATTGTTAACGAATGGATTTTGGTTGGAGGTTAGGGTCTATTTGGTCCCACCAAATGTTCATTCGTTAATAGTTAACGAATGTATATTTGAGGAGCCTTGTTTGAGTTGACTTTCGCCATTCAAGTGAACCATTCGTTGACTATTAATGAATATTCATTTGGTCATATTCAACTCTACGATTCTTTAATAGTTAACGAATCTCGTTTGGAATAAATGAATCATTCTATCAGTGTACGTGATTTAAATGAAAATAAATTACTTGACTTGAGTAAATATGTTTACGATATTAGAAATTTTCTTCTCAGTATAAGCACGCGTGATTGCTTTCCAGTGGAAAAAGTACTACTGTGTCCGATTTTCATCTTAGAAGGTTATGTCTTATTGGAGCTTTCTTAGACCCTATTCCAGCAAAAGAATTGCGAAATTCCAGCGAAAAAGGTCTGCAATACAGACCCTATTCACGCAAAAATATTATGTAATTGGACAGATAGAACCTATGAAGGCTTTAGTGAGACTTAATAAGGTCTGAACCAGGCTTAGTAAGGTCTAACTGGAGCTGACAGGACTACAGTTTAATAGATTATCTACCTGAACGCATAAATTTACTCATAATTTCAAAAATTTTCAAATTTTTGAATTCGCAATGTAATTTTAGGTCATGTTGATATTTGTAAACTGATGAATGCTTGTAAGTAATTTCTAGAGCCTGATGAAAATTAATTTTTAATTGAAACGCCGCGATATTTGACCATGAGATGGTGTGGTTTTTACTGTGTCCAAAATCTCGTGATTCCGCCTCATAGATTTAAAATTCTTTTCTTTTTCCTAATTTCAACAGTACAACTTACAACCATTACGTAGAGTCTCACGAGTTTTCCGGGAGTCTACACCACCAACGTCCACGTCGTGAATCCTGGGTCACGCTAAGAGCTCTTGGGGTTTGATCATTACCTCACTACTGAGTAAACAAATTTTTTTTTCCAATGTATACCTTTATTTGATAATTTTCAATTTAATTTATGCCTTCAGAAAGTAAGGCGGAATATTGGGAAACATCCCGCACATCTATCATCACCTATGGTTTTAGGTATGATCACCTACCTAAAAAGATAGATGACTGATGGAGGTAGGGATTTAATTTGTGTAAAGTCTAGCTCACAGACTACACTGTTAGAAATGTCTTGAAATTTCAGTCACAACGTCATCTAAATTTTTGATGTTGTGAGGTTGAATTCTATTCCAAATGAAAGCGTTCACTAAATTTCCCATTCATCTTGAAAATTAAACAATCATTGATTTTTCAATGAAAGCTTAAATTTCCAAACTCATCATGAAAACTAAACATCACATACAATGCAATTTTCAATAGATTGAGAATTCAGAAAAGTTATTGCCTGAATTTTCAAAATTTTCAAGATTTTTCAGTACCGGATGGACATGAAAATCGAGAATTACTTGAATAGTCAAGAAATTAGCTGATTCGTCAATGAAGAAAAATGCAAAAATGTCATGTAACTTTGTTGTTGTTAAAAATTTCAAGCTTTTTCACTTGAAATTTCAATAGTAATTTTCCAACAATGTACGATCTATTCACACCTCATAACAATCGTATTAATTCGAATTTTTGTGACCGACATTTTATTTCATTTTTCTCGTTAATCACTCGTCAAAATGCATTGAATTAGAATATAAAATCATAACTCTAAATGGAGTTTATAGTGGACTTCTATAGTGTTACCAAATTCTCAAAGACTGACTGACATTTGACCCTCAGGCAAATTCTCTATTCAATAAATAGCGTTTTTAGTGACAATGTAATGACATGTATGACATAAGCGATGATACTCTCAAACCTGAATATCCATCAGATATCCGTTGATCTCGAGTAGTTTTAGAGAGAAATATCGAAGAATGTTCTTTACATTCTGAGACAACTTTCTACAAAAATCTTCTCTCACATTTCCTTCTAAAATCACTCGTAATCAAGATGGTTCCATATTTATCAAAATTTTAAGAAATCCGATTGTGCGGATGATTTGCTCCCTTCTGGGGGCATTTCGCCGCAAGAATTCCATTTACATGGCATTAAAAAATACAATCGATCCCCCATCCCAACATAAATCTGTAGCACCCCATATATCTTCACATAACTCCATATGATAAATCCTCATCACCGACCCCTTCAGCTTTTTCGATACAGTTTATTACTTCTCAGTACTCTCAAGATAACGTCG